GAAAATTTAACATAGTAAAACACACTTTATTCTTTTTACATGCAATGCCTCTGTTAGAGTGTCGTTTTTTGGACGTTACTGTTGTTTTTCTAATGAAAAAAGCTCAGATTGCAAAATTTTCCCAACGTATCTTCGGGTTTCGGAACACACGCACCGATTAATTTCTTGACGAGCCAATAAACTAGCTGCTCCTACCCGCTCCTGCTGGCTGAAAGGCGAAACATTTTCTCACAACGATTAAATCCATATTAAAGTTAAATTAATGAACACTTACTGATATTATAGCTGTGTTTGAGTTGTTCATTTATACGCAAACAACGTATACTATACGAATACGTTAATACGCTAAGGAAAACGGCTTTAAAATATTGCGTAAAGCCCATTTTCCACTAGGCTAATTTGTTCGCGCGAGTTAGCGAAGCGAAAAACAGATCCTGGTAATGTGATTGGTCGGCGAATTCGCCGCGAAAAAGTTGGATCAGTTCCTACTTTTTTACTGTTCGCGCTAACAAATTCACTTAGTGGAAAATGGGCTGAATGGAGAGTGGGGCAGTTAATTGTCACAGCCAACAATTAAGTAACTGAATCATGCGTTTAATGACAAAAGCGTCCACCTTGGCAGGAATCTAGATCCCTATTGTAATCGAACTCAAATACTGTTTTGTGATATGGTGACATATGCATGTGAAAAATCAGCCCCGGCAGTGTAAAATATATTTTTTCCAAAATTTGTCCACCTAGCATATATTTACTTTTTGTTAAAAAAACTCGTAATTTAAAATTCCCATAGCCGTTAAATAAACATATACCTTTAGAAACAATAAATTCAACATTAAGAAACGCGGTTTTGCAGAATTTTCAAGTTGTTTCTTTATTACATATATGCAGTACTGCTGTCACCAATAGTTGAAAAAACTAAAATTGTCAAAGTTAATTTTTCAGACGCTCCGATATATCTAATTAATATTTATTTTTACAACAACCATATATATATATATATATATATATATATATATATATATATATATATATATATATATATATATATATATATATATATATATATATATATATATATATATATATATATATATA